AGAGGTTTCTGAGTTTTTTTTGCCAGCTGATAAAGTCCTTAGGCCATGAGCTGTCTCTCAGTTATGACGTTTAATAGAAGTGTTGATCTCAACCTGGTCAACACATCTGCATGTTACAATGATTCATCTGCACACCAGTATTCTGCTCAGAGGTGAGCACTTGCGCAATTCACATTATTTTCTCTGAGTTTCTGAAGGGCAAGACTGTGGAATAGTTCTCAAGAAATCAGGGATAAAAAGACACTAGTGATTCAAATGTAATACAAAGATAAATTGCATATATCACCAAAAGCAAAATTTTTTAAGTGTAACATTCTGGGAGATGACAGTGCTGGTAGTGCCAGTCTGCTCCTCAAGCCAATCAGGCTAAATAAATTAAAGGCAATTTGGTTGTGAATTTTACATTATACTTTATTTCCCTTCAATACTTCTGCTCATGGTGCTTGGAAATGGGCAGAGATACATTTGTTTTGCACAGAGCCAGTCTGTGACTTTCTTTACTTCCTAACTGGTTTAATTTCCAAAATAAATTAATTTCTAAAATAAAGCACAAGCACTGTTAAGAATCAAATCATCTGCATCAACTTAGTTCTACTAGGTGGGTACTGCTACCTTTCTGAGATGCTGGGCAGACTACGTAAGTCTGATTTTGGCAGCAATTTTACCTAATGTGTTAAAGCTAGCCATAGAAAAGCACAGGCAGCTGCAAAAGATTTCAAAGGGTAAACCAAACATTTGAATTTACTACATGTATTTTATGAAAAAAGCTTTTATGTTTTAGTTTCTTCATTTTTATATGCTAAATCATTTAAATGAAATAGAAGTAATGAGTAAATGAAAGAAAAGGCAAATGAAAATTTAGATTTGTAAAGTTAAGGACCTTCTCCCAAGAAGCAGAAAGGAATATTTAAATAGATGAAGCAGGAGAAAAACTATCCACTTTTTGGAAGAAATATAGTATGTATACATATATATGTTTAACATTTAAGCATGTTCACTGTTTTCACATGTTACATTTCTAAAGATCTGTGAGGATACTGGGATGTGGAAGGGAAAGTGAAGGAAAAAGAATTATTAATAATTTGAAAGATTTGTAGAAGAGAAACAAGTGAGTTGATTGGCAAAGTGCAGCAACTAATTATCTCAAAATGTTGGATTCTGAATGATGAGAGTGAGACCAGAGGGTGCATCTGAGGAAGAGAGCACTTGCAAGCATGAGGAGTAGTGTCACAGGGAGAGCATAATAAAGTGTGTGATGGCAATGCAAACACAAAAATACAACAGTGGTTTAGAGGAATCTCCCAACAGACCAAACCGAGACTGTTGTCTCACATATATCTGCCTGTGACCAGGTGGCAGGAAAGGGAACTCTCAAACTCAACCTATAAGGTTTGATCAATCTCAAAGGATGACAGCAACAGACTAACAAAGAACAGCACATTAAATCAACTAAAGTCTATCTTCTTAAAATACTATTATATGCTGACATTGGGAGGGAATGGTCCACAGTTTATGCTTAATCTGAGCTCTGACCTCTTGTGGGACTTTTCCTGCAAGACTCTAGTATAGATTGTCCATGATGTGCAGTGTGTGTCATTCCTTCGTGTCCTGGGCTGAGGAAGGAGACCAAAGGGTATACTCTGAGCCTTTGGAAATGATGGACTCTCTAAAGTATTTGTACCAGCTATTTCAGTGCAGTTCAGACATCTAACAAGACTAGGCACCTCTAAAGAGCAATGTGGAGGGCAATGTGGTATTGTTATTTTTAGGGACAATAAAGATGATAAAGGTTTTAACAAGGAGTGTCCTTCCTACTTCAGTAATTTTTCTAATCCAGTGGGTCCCCTAGAAATGAGCTGCTTATGGACATAAACACTTTATGCCATATATGCATGACACTTTATGCCATATATGCACGAATCAGCGTATTTTTCCTTTGCAGATTTGCCTTATGAGCAAGCCAGGAGATCAGCATGGACGAGTCACACCCACCCCAGTCCTCAGTCAAAAGGTAAAAAAATCTGCATATGTGCACATCTGGTGCAACCTGGATAGACTCTGAAGTGAACTCATAGGAGATACCTCAGCATTCAGCTCTGGAGGATTTTTACCTGTGCCTTGGCTGGAAAGCCTGCTAGCTGTGTACAGGCAATACTGGGTGGAGTCACTGGGGCAGCCACACCCTTCCTTGAACTTGGACTTCATCAGGTCCATGACCATATAGTCTTATAAAGCTAAATCCTATTATGTCCATCATTGAGTGGTGAGCATCAGGAGTCCCGGGCCTGTGATCTATCACAGGTTTGGTGACCATCTTCCAAACCGGAAAAATAACTACATGGGTTTTTCCATTTTCAGCTACTCAGCCATCATCCTCAACAGTTCCCAAAACAGAAGACCAGCGTCCTCAGTTAGGTGGGTGTCATTTTGTTTGAATTATGTCTGTGTGTGATGGGGTTTGTTAAACATGATGAGAAGGACAGCTCTCACCTACCAACCAGAAGCACACTGCAACATCTGATTCAGAGTACTAATGAGATCTCCAGCTGGTGACCACTAAATACCCAGACATGTATGGGTTGGCTCTACAGCTGGATCTGAGATGAAGGTTCCCATGGCCATTGAAAATTGATTTTAGTAATATTTAATGGCAGTGATGACCTTGCAGAGTGAAAAAGCTGTTAAACAAAGTACCTATGTACAGTTTAAGTACAAAGGTGGAAGGTAAGGGTGTCAAAAGACCATATACTCCACAGTAGTTGAAACACTAGTAGTTGGAAAATGTGCATGAGCAGAGAAACAAAAATGGGTTACAGCATACAGAAACCTATTTGAATTGGGCTCCTGAAATGAAACAGAAAAATTAGAAGGATTCTCAGTCTATTGGGAAACTGAGGAGAAAGTAGAAGTTTATGAGTTTGTAGACTAGTGGTTTTGCAAAATGGGTGCATTTTGTATTTTCAAGGCAGCTAATTCACGGGGTATGACCTACACCTTATTGTGTATTTGACTGTGTTTTGGACAGATAGCTAGAAATCACTACAGAGATTCTGAGTCAGATGTAGCTTTTAGCAAAGGGTAGAAGTAGGAAATAAAAGAGATTTGGAGGATATTCTTAGCTCAAAAGACTCCGAGCCTGTTTTTATCACATGGATTTCAAATCATTATTCCTGTTTCTGTTATAGCTAAATAAGACTGTATGCATGACTACATCTCATTAACTCATATGCATGTAGCCTGGGAAATATTATACTGCTTTTGCCCACATAGCGTTTTATCTAATCTGGCTTTCCAACCATGAGAATTTTTCAAGAAATATACTTTCATATAAGTCCTTAGGACTGTTTAATGTCTATGTGTGAGCTGCATAGGTTATTTAAATGCATAAGGAATGTAACCTGATTATCTTATTGGCTGTAAAACTGGCAACCCTTTGAGAGCAGCTTTACAGAGATGAGGCAGCCCAGCAACAGGGTCATTCACCGAGGGGCTCAGGCCTATGCTTGCAGCCCGTCATTTTGGCTTTTGTACTTCTGTCACAGCCTTCCCTTTTTCCTGTTGCACTTCAGGCCAAAATAAGTTTTCATTTCTGGAGGGAATCCCTTGAGGAAAACATTGAGATGCAATGGGCTTTGTGTGGCTGACACAGGCTCTTCTGAAAATCCTAGTTGAAAGGTTAAAACAGCAGCTGCCCTTTGCAGAGAGGACTCTCACCCCATTACCTGTCTGGGCCTGTGGGCTCTGGCACACTGCAAAGGTCAAGAGTACCAAAGGGTGCCTGTGTGTATGTGTACTTTAAGTAGGAATCGGAATACTTCTGGGCCAAATTGACAATATGTTTGAATATGTACTTGTACACACCAATATAGTACAAAAGACAAATGCATATCCATACAATGTTCACCTGCACACACAATTTTAAGGGAAAACATGCAAATATTGTGATGCAGAGAACGGAACTGCTTTCCTGAGTGTTGGACCTGCTGTCCAATCAGGCGGTATGCACTGCCCCTTACAACATTAAAAAATAACACCTAAAATATTTGACATCATTGTTACATGATTTTAAATCTTTCTTTCACAATTTTATAGATCCATATCAGATTCTTGGACCAACCAGCAGCCGACTTGCAAATCCAGGTGAGAAAGAGTTTTGCTGATTTAGGAGGATTTCTCTTCACTGCTAGTGTCCCCACTTCAGCCTTAATGCCAGACCTGGAAGGTGTTGTGACCAATTTTACCACTCTTCAGTATGACTCTGTGGGACCTGATGTTATCCAATGGGTTGCAGGTTTAGGTTTCTAAATTACACAAGAGTGGGACTGAGGTCACAGACACATAAACTCATGTATCTCAATGTAGGTGTCTACATATGAGCTAGGTGTCTTATTTCCCATGATACTCATCGCAGATGTAGTGAATACAGCTCTCTGTAGAGAGCTATTCAAATCATCCTAGAGTAGATGGTTACATGCAGTCAGTCAAATATTTCATTAGAGGTATTTGAACTTCTGATATCAACAGCTGTTCACTTCAGTTGCCTAAATGTCAGGATTTTCTTAAATGCTGTAAGATATCCTATCTGGCTTCCAGGTACCCCTTAAGAGGGGCATGAGTCTCCTACCAATCTGTGTCATGTGTGTCCCAGATTCTGCTAATACGCAACACAATGCCATACTGACCTTGACAAATACAAAATTTTGGGATTAATAACCCAAACCAGCAAAAATATATAGGGAAAACCCAGGAAAACATAATCTATTTGCAAAGTATAATTGGGTTAGACACCTCAAAAATGTTGTCCCACTTTAAGAAGGCGGCAACGGGGTGCATTGAGGGCAGGGGCTTGTAGCATATTTTAGCTAAAGATGAGGAACCATTTTGGTGGGTTAATAACACTGATTTTGAACTGTGCAGATTTCACTGTTGATGCTCTGAGTCTGCAGGACACTCTGTGGCTGTACACCACCATAATCAACATCATAATCTGCCACAATGGATTGATATTGTACGTGTTACTTCCTATTTCCCTTGCTTTAACAGCCAAAGGGAACAGTGTTCCTGGTTCCACATTGCAGGTTTCCTCAATGCCCTCCAGTAACAATGTTTTTTCTTACAAGGGTTGTATGGCTTTCCAAGGCATGAAATTGCCAAAATACTGATCTCTTTCCTTTCACTTTATCCCAAACGATGTCAAGCACAGGTCTAGATTAGCTTACTTTCCAAACAGTTTTGCATGGCATAGAATAGCAATTAAGTATTAAGAATAGTATTTTCCAAATGGCCTAAGGTGGTGGGTTTCCAGGTGACACTGATCTTAACTGGAAGTGGGGGCCTACCTCCCTTTAATTTGTTCGCAACCCCCAGCTTTTACAATGTTATCAAGCATCTATTTGGTAGCCTTCATTACTGTGGAAGACACTAACATGATCTGGATTGGGATACTTTTTTTTTTAACATTCAGATATGGAATTCCTACACACCATCATTCCTGTGCTTTAACATGTTTTGTGTGTTTATGAATCGGTGGAATTACTCTCTCATTAAAAGGAAATTGACAGCAGCCATTTATTTTCATAGGACTATATATTACATTTGGAAGGCAAGTGTTTATGTTAAAACATATGTTGGATTGCTTATTCAAAAATTTGTGTTTTGTCCAGTGCTGAACTGTTTATTGATTTTCAAAGGCTAATCCTCTTGTTATGTTTCGTGTATTAAAACTTGCATGCCTTGCTCATACCATGGATTCTTTTGTTTGTTTGTTTACTTAATGCATGTTAATGGAACAGAAGAAATTCATTAAGGACAGTTTGGATAAATATCATTTAAACGAATATGGGTTTCAGTTGCACTGAAGTATAAACTGCTAATGGATTTCAGATGCTACTCTAGCTTAATATTGTAATTTGCTACTATAAGCTTTCTGAAGAAAAGGTTGTTTACTATACCCATATATCTGGTTTGGAAAAAAAAAAAGAAACACAGCCGATTCCTGGTCAGAGATGTACTTAGAAGTTAGCACATACAAGCTGGTTGGCAAATTCTGCTGACATTGTGCTTGTGAAACAGATTGCCTTGCAAGCTGCTTCAGCTGTATTTTGCATTATTTCAGTGCTGCTTTATTAAGAAATGCTAAGCTTTTAACATGAATATCAGTGGCAAGGCCCTTTGAAATCTACTTTCATTTGTCTAAAATGGTCAAATTTTGTTTCTATAACTCTGGGCACCACACTTCTGTGAAGTTGACAGCAGACTAATTATTTTAAAGACTAAATTGGCAGAGGAGTGAGAAAAAAACAACTTTTTAAGTCTTAACTTCAATAATCATTTAAACTCATTTGACACAGAACAATGACACGAATGTATTTTATGGACCTTTTCACTGTTCTTGCAAATGTTTTGCCCTATGGTTGTATGCAATGCAACAGCAAGCTAATAAGTTTCCGTTCTGCATTTCCCCAAATGCTGCAAATGGATGATATGGTTTGGCATGAGCCCAGCTTTCTCTAAACTTCTCCATTTTGTGTAGGCTTATTCCATAGCAGAGAACATTTAGTTGCAACATAATGCTGTGAGAACAAGCAAAATGTTACGCAACTGAAAGCTGTTTGTCCTGAACTTTAGAGATTAGTTTCCTAAATGAGTGCTGTATTATTTCCCCATCAATTGTCTACACTGAATGACATTAGGTAACTATTAAATCTCCATGTAATGGCATTCTGCCACTCAGATGAGGGAAAACATGACACATTACCATTATCTCTGCTTTTTAGGATTTCATGAGGCAGGGCTGGGAGAAAGGGCACTAGTTAAGAGTAAGAAGTAGGAACCGACATTGCAACATTTCCTAGTAGGGTCCTATGCGAGAGCCTGGAAGAACTGATGTCTTAACGTTATTAGTCACTAGTCTTGACATTTCCATTTTGCTTCCCCCCACAGGGAGTGGGCAGATACAACTATGGCAGTTCCTGCTGGAGCTCCTCTCAGACAGCTCCAATTCCAACTGCATCACCTGGGAGGGCACCAACGGGGAGTTCAAGATGACTGACCCTGATGAAGTGGCTCGGCGCTGGGGAGAGCGGAAAAGCAAGCCTAACATGAACTATGACAAACTCAGCCGTGCACTTCGCTACTACTATGACAAAAATATTATGACTAAGGTTCATGGTAAGCGCTACGCCTACAAATTTGATTTCCATGGAATCGCTCAGGCTCTCCAGCCTCACCCCCCAGAGTCGTCCATGTACAAATACCCATCAGACCTCCCCTACATGAGCTCCTATCATGCGCACCCTCAGAAGATGAACTTTGTAGCTCCTCATCCCCCTGCTTTGCCCGTAACATCGTCCAGCTTTTTCGCTGCCCCTAATCCTTACTGGAATTCACCAACTGGAGGTATCTACCCCAATACCAGGCTGCCAGCTGCTCATATGCCTTCTCATCTTGGCACCTACTACTAAGTGGGGAAAAAAAGAAACAACAGAAAAATCAAACAAAGACTTTTCTTGCTGGGATACAGTCCCTGATGAATTGCAATGAACTCTATTGGAGTACACGAATTAAAAGTGCCTGAAGAGACAAGTGAAGGTTTGGCTGGGAAAAAACACATTAAAAAATAGATGTCAAAAAGACTCTTTGTAGTAGGGATTTAAAGGAGGTATTCAAGAAGTATTAAGATACTAAAATGTAATGTATATGGGCATCGACTCTGTGGACCAAACAACAATAGACTATTGTAGGTAAAAGCATGAAATGATAAGGAAAACCTACAGAAGCTAGTGGTCTTAAAAAGTTGATAAGCTTATGTGTAAAGTTTGATATCTTGCTAGTGCAAAACTGGGACTATACTACAGCAATATAAGGATAAGTCTATAGTGACCTAACATACAATATATGAATCATTACAAAAGAGGGTGGAAGGGAGGGGGAAGGAAAAAACCCTACCTGTATTTAAAAAATAGAAACATATCAACAAAAGAGACTGGTTTAGTGTGGAAACTGATTTGGAATATAATAGCATTGTTTTAGCTAAAATCAAACGCGTTCCATTCATCAGAGTGTTATCAGCTACTCAAACTGTGAAGACAACCCAAACTTTAAGATTCCTTGACAGTATTACAGGAACCCTGAGCCAAACATTGGAAATGAGAATGTGCTGAAGGGCAAGTGTATGACTGTAGACCAGAGGCCTGCACCTGACAGAGGAAGCAGAAAGGAGAAAGAGGAGGACAAAGGTGGTGAGAATGGGAGAAAACACACTTCTTTACCAGTAGAGACTGAAAAGACTGAAAACTTAGTAGTGTTGGGACTATGAAGAAACACTTGTTTGGACTTGTGAAACATATTGCTCAGTATCATACCATTCCCAGTATTACAGGAGGAACAGACTTGATTTTATAGTAATTAAAAAAAAAGAAAAAAGGGAAAAGCAGAAGAATTCAGAAATCAGAATATGCATCTCTCTTAAAAAAGAAGTAAAACTGGAATTGTGTTTGATATTTAAAAGTTACCAGTTAGAACCTCATCATTATTAAGGGAGTTTGTTTTCTATTGGTTAAAGCAAGAGACAACCCCTGACTGCCAATATCAGAAATCATCTAAGTATTTTTGTTAGGTGGGCGCCAGTTTTTCTTTATCGAGTCGCGAACGCTGTGCGTTTGTCAGAATGAAGTATACAAGTCAATGTTATTTTTTCCTTTTTATATAATTATTATATAACTTATGCATTTATACACTACGAGTTGATCTCGGCCAACCAAAGACACAAAAAAGGGACAATCAAAAATATTGTGGCCTTGAATTTTAACTCTGTATGCTTAATGTTTACATTATGAACATATTAGTACTTAGAATGCAGAATGTATGTAATAAAATAAGCTTGGCCTAGCATGGCAATTCAGATTGACACTGTAGTTTGCATTTGCATTTGCATTTTTAGTGCCTGACACGCCTATTGGAACTCCTACTCGCCATGTTAAAATATGGTAGGCATTTTGTTTTAAAATTTTCGTTTTGTGAAATCTGGCAATCATGAAAATGTAGGACCAAATAGCAATGCTTAGCCTAAGTTCAAAGTGGACAAGTGCTGTGTATCTTATCTTCTTTTCCAGACAGTTCTGCTAATACTTGCAGCCCTTTTTAACAGTGCCTTACCATTCTTGTCCTGAGCTGCTTTTGCCCAGAAATTGCAACCATGCCCAATTCTTTGACAACTTCACGGCCAGGATTGAAAATGAAGTCTAAAGGAGGCCTCTAAGGAAGAACACTGATACCCAGAAATTATCTTTTGTTGCCATCAGATAATACAGCATAATCTCAGCCTGGGATGTATTTTCATACTGAATCATATGTTGAATTACCATGCCCCCTTGCTATTAATACATACTGTATCATTATTAGTAAATAAAGTGAATAATGAATAACTTCCATTATTCCTCACTTTAGAATGGAGTGTATGGTAGCTTGTTAATTTGTCATTGCAGTCCATCCTGGCTGTTTACAAAGGGCAGGATGTTTTCTTTCTGTTCTAGATTTAGAGGCAGCTCACACTGTACCCTGGGCCCCAAAACGACATCTGGTGCCTAATGGCATGACTCCATTTTTTTGTAACACCAGCTGAAGAACTGGTCTGGAAAATCAGCAATGACATTTATGAGTGGCTCTCCACAGCAGGCAGTGTTTACAGCAGAGACCCCAGACAGCTCAGACCTCCAGCTGTATTCCTCTTTTTTGCTGTTCTTTTGTCTCTTTTTCAGACAAAATGGGTGTGGTTTCAGGTTTTATAGCAAATGTTCTGCATATCCGTTTTGTGGAGCGTTAATCGGTGCTGTGCAATGGGAGCCTACTTGCCAGACTCCCATGTTATGGGTGTCTTGGTGGCAGTTTATAAAAACGGGATTATATTACTGATGTTTGAGACGTGAGCAATGGCATCATAAGCCTTGTGATCGTTTGGGAAATAAGCACTGTAAATCTTTATCTCTTAAAAAATAAAAACCCACAGAAAGGTTAGAAAAACTGAACTCTTGGAAAAGGTTAGTCACTCGCTATTTTAGAAAGTTATGGCAGGCACACCTACATGCTGACTATAAGAATAATAGTTTGCTTTTCAGTGGGAATACATCTACTTCATGTGTACTTCCAACTCAAAAAAACTGTAAGTGTATTGTTGAACCACCTTTTAATTAAACACTTAAAAATCCAGATAAAACAACCATCTTTGTTTAGATTGGCAAAGACATGCCTGGAGGCCTCCAAAGCATCCCCAGTGCTCACAGAGCTGCCTGCAGGATTTCCAGATTGTGTTGCCTGGCTGCTATCATGTGCAATGGGAACAACATCCTGAGATTAAAAGAAATGGTCCAAATCCTGGGACAATGACGGAGTCACAGCAGATGGCGTGATGGAGACCCCTCATAATGAAGACCAAAATCCTACAGTAGGCCATGGGTAGCTCGCTGGTGAATCAGTCCAGGACACCCATCTTAGAGGTACACCTTTCCCCAGGACCAGCTCACAGCTTTCCAGTAGCCTTGGAAAACCTGTTTTTTGCAACCGTGAGGATGAAGAGGAGAGTGAAGTATAGAAAGACCCTACTGCTGCTGCACTGGGACGGGTGGCTCTGCAACTTGCAGGGCCTCCCTACCCCAGGGGCAGAAGCCACCCCACAGCATCTTCCTTCTGGAGGGCAAGGACCAGCCCAGTGTCCCAGTGCACTGGCAGAGGCAAAACAGACAGTGGACCCATGGTTGTGTCTCTGCCGCTCACTGCCTGCTACCAAGTCTGGCCCTGCTGTTGGGAGCCAGGAAGACTGAAGTGAGGCCAGAGTTTTAGGGGCTGGTTCCCAGTTCAGACCATGACAAGGGACAGGCCCAGTACAGCCCAAATACTCAAGGAAGCTGAGCAACGTTGTGTCTGTACCATGAGAGACATTCATGTGGGGCTCAGCCAGACCCTAAGACTTTGGCCAAACATGCTATCTGTTTGCTATTTAAGCACCTAGATTTATGGACAACATGGCCCTTCTGAGTCGCCATTTGTACAAGTTGTTCTTGTTGGTAACTTTGACTTTTTGTTTAAATTAGATCTTTTTTTAAAGTCAGTTGTCAGTCACGTGTCATACCTTATTAGAGCACTCTGAGGACTGCTCTGAAAGTAGAAGCTTTATTTTTCCTGAAATTTGGAGATATACATGTGTGCTTATCTTTCACCAAGAAATACACATCTGTCTGAGAATCACAGAATCACAGAATCATTAAGGTTGGAAAAGACCTTCAAGATCAACAAGTCCAACCACCAACCCAGCACCACCATGCCCACTAAATCATGTCCTGAAGTGCCATGTCCACACATTGTTTGAATACTTCCAGTGATGGTGACTCCACCACCTCCCTGGGCAGCCTGTTCCAATGCCTGACCACTCTCTCAGTACAGAAATTTTTCCTAATATCTAGTCAAAACCTCCACTGGTGCAACTTGAGGCCATTTCCTCTCTTTCTAAGAAGCTATACTGTAACATGGGAAGTGATGGTGAGAGAAGTTTTAAAACTAGGAAGCTCAAATTTCACCATTTTCTATCAAGATATTTCCCCTTATATTAAATTGGTTTTAGTGAGTATATAAAAAAATGCCTTTGAAGGATATATTTTACAACACTTGTATTCTGAATCTTAAGGGAAGATCAACAGAGGTTAGGATGATACAGCATTAAGTGTACTGAACTCTTTCATTCCCCACACTTTCCATGTTGGGTACCTCAACCACCACATGCTTTTTAAACTGCCCACAGAAACATGGGCGTCATCAGTGATTTAGACTTTCTTCTGCAAACTCTTCTTGCTCAGACTGTTTCTTACATCAGCTAAGATCTAATTTTACAATAAATTTTTAATTACAGATGCATTAAAGAAATGCAAAAAAACCACTCTACCTTATATTAGATGCTTAATGATCCCACGATCTCTTCCTGTGCCATCTTCTCAAGTTTTAGTCACGTTAGGGGAATGGCCTTGAGAATAGTCTCTTCTTACCTAAATCAGAAGTCAGAATGGCACCTCACCCATCCAAAGGATTCAGTTAGCTCATGCCTGAATTTTAACTGCCTCCTGAGGAGTCCTGGTGCAGCACAAGTGCTTAGTTCCTATCTGGTCAGTGGAGGGAGCCTTTGGATGTCTTCACAGAAGATCCTGCCTGCCTTTGGATCTATGTTAAGGAGATTAGGTGCTACCAGGGAGGCTCACAGTGGACTGTGGTTAGTCCTTGGGCTCTTCTGGGACCTTGCTGACCATCAGCAAGACAAGACCTTTCATGAGTGACAGGTCACCCCGTTATGTGGCAGCAATGCCTGGTGGAAAAAAAAGCTCACTTGTGCTTTCTTGGTAAAGCACATTTCTTCTTTTTTTTCCCTCGCTGGAATCGTTACGTCCTTTATCATGTTGGGCTGTTCAGAGAGCCCTTCCTCATCAGAGCTTGGCTAAGAGCTCACAGCACTTGGAGTTCAGAGGAGGCCACCCTCCAGGACTTGGCATTACACTGAGGGAGGCAAGGGCTAAAGTGTCCATGAATCCTCCTGCTTGATTGATTAGTACTATGGCTCCATAATGAGCACTGCATAGACACACACTTGGTCAAGGCATGAAGCTCTTGACTATGCACTTCATCATGCCTCTCACCTTCTGGTGATGTCTTGATCTCTGTGCAGATCACACAAGTGGGTCACCCCAGGGTTTCAGCAAGAGAAAACATGAAGTCTGTGTAAGCCACACCATTTTCAGGAACGATATGAGGCTCCTCAGAAGGCTGTCCTGACTCCCTGCTTGCTTCCAGGCTTCAGCTGCAACCTCCAGAGTGGCTTGGCTCCACTGCTGCCCCTTGGGCAGTGTGACCACTCCTTCGAGGCACTGGCAGCTGAGACTAC